TTGGGAGAGTCTCTGCTTATTTGGATACAAGGTCTTATGTTTACATATTTATATAATCTATGTGAGAAAGAGAAAGCAAGCCTTAGCTGTGGTCACTCTGCTCTCTCAGGCCAGGCTGCCTCAGGGAACCTGGGCCTTGAGATCTGGCCTGGCCTGAGCATTTGATGTCTTTGTGCCCTCCACTCCCACCCCTCCACTCCCTGTGCTTGAGCTGAGGTCTTGCTCTGTTGCCCAGGCTGGAGTGCAGTGGCACGATCATGGCTCACTGCAGTCTTGAACTCCTGGGCTCAAGCAGTCCTCCCACCTCAGCCTCCCAGGTAGCTGGGACTACAGGCACTCACCACCATGCCTGGCTAATTTTTAATTTATTTCTGGTAGAGATGGAGTCTTGTTAGGCTGCCTGTAGGCTGTTCTCAGAACTCCTGGGCTCAAGTGATTCTCCCACCTCAGCCTCCCAAAGTGCTGGGATTGCAGTGTGACCACTGTGTGCCTGGCCTGTGCCTGTTTCTTAATTGGCAGAGTATGTGCAGTAAAAGGTGTACGACAGGGTCTTGGAGGTGCCTAGCGTACCCTTCTTTAATATTTTATACATTACTGTTTTTTAAAATAAACTGTATTGTTTGGTTCATTGTCGGTTCCCACGCAGCTGTGAGAAAGATGAAGATCTTTTATATTTCAGACCGTGCCGGTTTCCCCATTGGTGACGGTTGGGATGCCGACTCTGGTGCAGGTGAAGCTGTGGAAGGCTCCATCCTGCAGGGAGCCACTCGTGCCACCTCTCACAGCCTCGCCATTCCTTAGCCCTGAAACCTCTAGTCACTTTGCTCTGTGTGATTTTGTCATCCGAAGGATGCTGTATGAGGAAGTGGGATTCTTCAGGCGGTTGTGTGTGTCATTAGCTCGTTTCCTGTGGCGAGACTCCTCTGTGTGATATGCTCAGCTTGCCAGCCAGCCACCCGTGGAAGCACATCTGGCTGTTTCCGGTTTAAGCTATTACAAATAAAGCTGCTGTGACACTGCATATGAGTTTTGTGTGAATATACACATTTTCATTTCTGGGATAAATGTCACAAGGTGCAGTTGCTGGTTCATGTGTGGTAATTATGTGTTTAGTTTGTTAGAAAACTGCCAGATTGTTTCTTGAGTACCTTACATTTCCCACCAGCAATGTAGGAGCGTATCAACCTGAGTAAGGACTGCCGTAACAAAATACTCCCAGACTGAGTGGGGGAGCAGTGAAATTCAGTCTCGCAGTTCTGGGCTCGAAGGCCAAGAGCAAGATGCTGTCAGTGCTGATTCCTGGAGAGGCCTCTCTTGCTGGTTTGCAGATGCTGCCTTTTTTTGTTGTTGTTCTTTGAGATGGAGTCTCGCTCTGTCACCCAGGCTGGAGTGCAGTGGCGCGCCGCTTCCTCCTGATTCACACCCTGCCCCCGTCCAGGCGATATCCACTGCTTCCTCCTGATTCACACCCTGCTCCCGTCCAGGCGATATCCGCCGCTTCCTCCTGATTCACACCCTGCTGCCGTGCAGGTGATTTCCCCACCACTTCCTCCTGATTCACACCCTGCCCCTGTACAGGTGATCTTCACCACTTCCTCCTGATTCATACCCTGCCCCTGTACAGGCGATCTTCACCGCTTCTTCCTGATTTACACCCTGCCCCTGTACAGGTGATCTCCGCCGCTTCTTCCTGATTCACACCCTGCTACCGTGCAGGCGATCGCCACTTCCTCCTGATTCCCACCCTGCCCCCGTCCAGGCGATCTCCGCCACTTCCTCCTGATTCACAGCCTGCTCTCAACAGTTGGTGTTAGAGAGCACTGCGTGCCCTGGTAGCTTTGGTGGCTTTCTCAGCATTACCTTGGGAGCAGTCCCCCTGCCCCCCACCCCGCTCCCGCCACCGCGGAGCTTGTGGGCTGTGCCTGCTGCCTCTGCATTGTGCAGGCGAGGGGCTGGGGACACAGTAGCTCTTTTTTTTTTTTTCTTTTTTGAGACGGAGTCTTGCTCTGTAGCCTGGGCTGGACTGCAGTGGCTGGATCTCAGCTCACTGCAAGCTCCGCCTCCCGGGTTTATGCCATTCTCCTGCCTCAGCCTCCGGAGTAGCTGGGACTACAGGCGCCCGCCACCTTGCCCGGCTAGTTTTTTGTATTTTTAGTAGAGACGGGGTTTCACCGTGTTAGCCAGGATGGTCTCGATCTCCTGACCTCGTGATCCGCCCGTCTCGGCCTCCCAAAGTGCTGGGATTACAGGCTTGAGCCACCGCGCCCGGCCACAGTAGCTCTTTCAGGATCTTCAGGTGCTCAGTTGTCAGGGGAGGCCTCTGGGGCTCCATGGGAGAGGCGTCCTCAAGGGGTTGTGAGCTGCCTGTTCCCAGGCACAGGAAACACCCTCTGTGGAGGTAGAGCTCCTCCTCCCGAGGAATGGGACCCTCAGACCTCATGACCAAAAACCATTCTGAAAAAAGGAAACCCCGTTTTTCCATTCAGGGATTCCATGCTTATTCAGGGATTGCATACACTACACCTGTGGAAACGCCTACGGAACACCCACGCAGTAAGAAACAGAATAAACATGGACCACTGTCTGTCACCAGGTAAATGAGCACAGCCCACACGGTCCCACTCCTGAAGCAGGAAAGGCGCACCTCCATGCCTCATCCACTCTGAAGTTAGGGCCTCTTTCTGGGCTGGGCCTGACTGAGCCGAAGTCCCCCAACCCAGGGCTCTGTGACCCCATCAGGGGCCCAAGGGTGGCCTCAGGCTACTGGACACAGGGGCTCACTCTGGGGCTGCACATTTCACTAAAAAGTAGAAAGGAAAGGACCCCATTTCCCTGGAGACAGCAGCACTGGTGACTGCTGAGCGTCGGGACGCTGCACACAGGCCTACGTGACCCTAGCAGATGCACAGAGCAGATCTGTGAAGCATCCCCCCCAGGCCTCCGGGGGTCCTCCGCCCTGCCCTGCCCATGGATTCCACAGTGGGTGTGGCCTCGGGTGGACGAGGGCAGGCAGGGTTCACACCGCTGAGCTGATGGGGAGCCTGGCACAGTCAGGCTCTGGGTCTCCCAGGCGCTCTATGAGCAAGGAGCTGAAGAGAAAGCCCTCCCCTAAGTAAGAGGACCATCTGTCACCACCAGAGACAGTCACCTTGCTGAAAGCAAGTCTGTCATGTAAAACGTTCAGCCATGCTTTCAAGGCAGGCGCCCATGCACCCGTCGCCCTGCAGCCCCAGCTCCACCTCTGGTGTCCTCCTGCTCCTCTCTGCCTGGGGCAGGTGGTCAGGGGCCCCCACAGCACTGGGCCCTGCTCTCCTTGGATCCCTTTTTTTTTTTCTTCTGAGATAGAGTCTCGCTCTGTCACCTAGGCTGGAGTGCAGTGGTGCGATCTCCACTCTGCAGCCTCCACCTTCTGGGTTCGAGCAATTCTCCTGCCTCTGCCTCCTTAGTAGCTAGGATTATAGGCAGGTGCCACCACACCCGGATAATTTTTGTATTTTTCATACAGACGGGGTGTCACCATGTTGGCCAGGCTGGACTCAAACTCCTGACCTCAGGTGATCCACCCTCCTTGGCCTCCTAAAGTGCTGGGATTATAGGCGTGAGCCACCTTGCCTGGCCTCTCCTTGGATCTTAAGGAACCTTTTCCTCTGGAAGGTGACGCTCCAGCCCTGGAGCACATGTCCCGCAGACACAGCCTCCTTGCCAGGGAGAAGGCAGTGCGGTGAGTCCCCAGGGCACAGAACCAGGAGGACAGGGCTGTGTACCGCCCCAGCCAGTGTTAATGGGGCACATCATATGTGCCTCTCCTGCCTCTCTCCTGCCCGGCTGCAGCCTGGTCTTGAGGCAGCTCTCGCAGGCAGCAGGAAGGTCCCGTGTGGCCAAGAAGCAGTGGCAGCACTGAGTGTCTGTGTGGCCAAGAAGCAGTGGCAGCACTGAGTGAACCATCCACACCTCCGCCTACTGAACTGTTCACACCTCCGCCTACTGCACCGTCCACACTTCCGCCTACTGCACCATCCACAACTCTGCCTACACTGTCTCCAACAGCCGCACCTCTGCCTACCGCACCGTCCGCATACCGCACCAGCTGCACTTCCACCTATTGCACCGTCCACACCTCCGCCTACACCATCTCCACCATCCACACCTCCTCCTACCGCACCGTCCGCACCTCCGCCTACCGTACCGTCCACACCTCTGCCTACTGCACCACCCACACCTCTGCTTACACCTTCTCCACCATCCACACCTTCTCCTACGGCACCATCCGCACCTCCTCCTACCGCACCGTCCGCACCTCCGCCTACCGCACCGTCCGCACCTCCGCCTACCGCACCGTCCGCACCTCCGCCTACCGCACCGTCTGCCCCTCCGCCTACTGCACCGTCCGCACCTCCGCCTACCGCACCGTCCGCACCTCCGCTTACCGCACCGTCCGCACCTCCACCTACTGCACCGTCCGCACCTCTGCTTACACCTTCTCCACCATCCACATCTCCTCCTACGGCACCATCCACACCTCCGCCTACCGCACCGTCCGCACCTCCGCCTACCGCACCGTCCGCACCTCCGCCTACCGCACCGTCCGCACCTCCGCCTACCGCACCGTCCGCACCTCCGCCTACCGCACCGTCCACACGTCCGCCTACGGCACCGTCCGCACCTCCGCCTACCGCACCGTCCGCCCCCCGACCTACTGCACCGTCTGCACCATCCGCACCTCCGCCTACTGCACCATCTGCATCATCCACACCTCCGCCTACTGCACCGTCCACACCATCTACACCTATGCCTACTGCACGGTCTGCACCATCCACACCTCCACCTACTGCACCGTCCGCACTGTCCCAGGCCCTGGGGCTAGGGTAAGTAACGCCATCCCCACGCGCATGAGGGTGGGAGGGGCAACCTGCTGTCCCCCACCCCTGGGGACTCGTGCATGATGTGGTGCAGGGTACGGGAACCCTGAGAGCAGCCGTGGACCCGCTGGAAGCTCCCACCTTGTGTGTGCCGCCCAGGCCACCGTCACGATGAGGAAGGTCATCAGGTAGACTGCGATCCGTGTTGCCAGAAGCCTCTGTACACTTCTGTCGAACTGCTGGAATACAAGAGCACTGCTGTCAGAGCCCAGGTGACATGAGTGTCCCTGAATGGCCATCGAGACAGCACCATGCGGGGGGGGGGGGAGCAGGGGGGCTGGCCTTGGCCCAGGGCAGGGCGAGACCCTCAGGTGGGCCGTGTGAGGCACCTTGGAAGGTCCTGGCCTCCCCAGCAGACCCTGGGTGCCCTGTTCTGGGTCCAGCCTCCGTCTCCAGCTGGTCTGTCTCCCCTGGCGCCTGCAGACCCCATCCCCCCCAGCTCCCACCCCTTCTCCAGGGCACTGATCCACGCCCACACCCACAGGTGCACTCCAGAGAGTTCTATGGGCTGTGTTCCCACTGGGGGGTCAGCTCTTAAGGGGCTCGGTGTCTGCTGAGGACCCCGCCATGGGGATGGTGCCCTCTGGGTGTCTGCATGTGGGAAGGGACAGGAGGGCAAAAGCACCAGGTCACAAATGTCATCCATGAGGCTCTGCCATCATAACCGGGTCACCTCCAAAAGGCTCTGCCCCACAACGTCATCCCTGTGTGGTGTCTGGCGTGTGGACTTCGGAGGGACACACAGGTTGACAGCACAGAAGGGTCACACCTGGCACTGCCTAGGTAGCAATTCCAAAGCAGCCACGGGAAAGGGTCTCTGGAAACTGCAAGGGATCCCACAGGTGGCCCGTCCTGGGAGCTGTGGTCAGCATGGAGGCACTGGGGGCTGCGCCGCGCTCGACACAAGGCCCTCACCCTCCAGCCCTGACAAGGTTTTCATGCTCTCCCCACGAATGCTCCAAACAGAACACACAGCGCTTTACTGTTTCCCTTGGCTCTTCACTTGCAGGCAGGTCTCTGGGTCAGTAACTTGGTATTTCAGCCACTTCTTTATTGAGTTCCATCTAGCTTTTCGAATCATGGGTTTTCAAAGTTACAACTGTCTTTTATTTTTCATCAGAGTGAGCACAGCCCTAGGAGCTCCCGTCTCCTCACAAGGAGGGAGGTGTCTGCTTTTCTAGCACCTTCCCCGGGACACATGTCAGGCCTTTCCCTCATCCCATAAATGTGTTCTCTGAATGAGCTTTTGACTCTCCAGGACTTTCTGAGGCTCAGACCCTCCCTGTGATCCGGTTAGGACGACAGAGGAAAGATAGGGCAGTAAACGTCACAGTCCCAGAAAGGTGCCCTGGCTGCAGAGAGGTCAGGGCAGGTTCAGGCTCATGGGTGTTTATTTTCAACCACCTGGGCCCTTCACTGTCATGTGCCCTCGGGCATGGGCATCACAAGTGGGTATGGCTGTACCTCAGCAACCCCATTCTGAAAGGGGCAGCCAAGGCCAGTACCTCACGACTGCATTTGGCCAAGCCCACCCCATGGGCCTTGGTGGGGACACAGCTTTTCTGAGCCGCTGCCCCCTAGGGAGGGCAGGAGCGGCCCCAGGGTCCCAGTGCCTGTGCTGCTTGCTGTCTGCTGGTGCCTGCAGACTGGGCCAGGCTCCACCTGCGTTTCTACTTCTCGTGAAAACCCTATGAAGAGTCTCGTCATCCCCTTCACATGGCTAAGAAAGCCGAACTCTGAGCAGCTCCCATGACTTCCTAGCGTTCCCCAGGCTCAGCTCACGAGTCAGGACTGGAGCCCCAACCTCAGTACTGGCCCAGGAAGGGCTACGTGGTCACTGCTGTGCCTCGCGCACCCATGAGGCTTGGGCCGCACGAGCCTGTCATGAGGACACCGAGCCAGGCAGGTGTGCGCCCCAGATGCCCTCCAGTCATTCCCCTTCTAAGATGCTGTGTTGCTCTTTAGCTCAGAAACAGTCCAGGCAGCTGTAAGCGGAAACTCTGCTTGTAAACCCTTCCTGCTCACCTCCAGGCCTGCAGGAGCAGCCAGGGTGGGAGTGTCCCTGCTGAGGCGGGACATCGGCCCTGTTTACTCATAGCAGCTACGTAAGGGGCCTGCTGGGGCAGCCCGGAACCTTCCTCTTCCAACCTATCCTCTGGCTCACTTCCAGGGCGCTGCCTTTGTCCACTGAGCTCAGAAACAGAGCCCCAGGAGCCCAGTCTCCTGCCCTCCCAGGAAGCCAGGACCTCTGCCGGGGTGGGCACGGGCTGAGCAGGACTTGCTGACCCCCTCCCTTTTTAAGGAGGCCCCTGCCTCCCGCCTCTGCCTCCTAAGCCTCAGAAGCTTCGAGGGGTGCAGGGTCAGCTCCTTGTGCCAGGTCGGGCCTCAGGGACCCTGGGTCTTCTCAGGGCCACACCACGCAGAGCACAGCCTGCCCTGTTACCTGTTCCGGGGAGATCTCCGTGTGGGTCACAGGCAGGATCTGAGGAGGCAGAGAGACAGAAGGAAGCGAGAGACGCTGGTTGGGCTGGGTGTGGCGGTACTGGGGACTCCAAGGCAGCGCTGGGCCCCCCAAGCTGCCCGAGGAGATGGGGGACCCAAGGCTGCTGGCAAGACCTGGACAGGTCTGAGGTGGGCTGGGCAGTGCCTCGAGGGGCTTGGGGTGGGGCAGGCCTGAGCAGGGGCCCCATACAGACCATGACGGTGGCGATGATGGACAGCAGGGCGTCACTGAAGTTGAGCATGCGTTGGGAGCACTGGATCCCCTCCCCAGCGTCCTCGTCTCTTCTGCCCCGTGGGCAGTCCCCCAGCATGTCCAGTGCCTGCTCTGGGGTCTGGGGCTGGGACATGGTGGAGACGCTGCCTGGCGGTCACAGGAGCCTGGGAGGAAAGGCAGGTCTGAGTGTGCCTGTGGGTGCTCCTGGGGATCGGCCATGCAGCCTCAGCCCTGGTGCAGGGACAGGGACTGGTATGGGGGGGCTTGGCCACTGCTGAGCAGGGGAAGGGTCCATGCTACTCTGTCCTCTCCCAGGTGCCCCTCAAATTTCCAGCCTCCAGGCTGAGAGGCCAACAACAGATGCCATGCCCAGCCCTGTTACTGGTGAACACTGATCTGGGTGAACCAGGCCTCAGTTTCTCCTCAGGGAACGGGAGACACAAGGAAAGGCACTGAGATCGCCGACCCCATGGCTGACCTAAACGTGGAAGAGGAACACAGCGCCCTGCAGGGCCCTTGCCCGTGCATGCGTGCCTGGGGCTGTTTCCTACAGGGGCCGCGCTCTCCCTTGGTCTCCGCAGCGCTCTCCCTTGGTCTCCGCAGCGCTCTCCCTTGGTCTCCACGCAAGCCGTGCACACGTGCCTGGGACTGTCTGTTTCCCACAGGGGCTGCGCTCTCCCAAGAGCTCTCCCTTGGTCTTGGTGCCCATGCACATGTGCCTGGGGCTGTTTCCTACAGGGGCTGCACTCTCCCTTGGTGACCTTTGGGGAAACCAAGGCCCTTCGTCTGTAGCCATACGAAGCCAAACTTAGCACCAGGGCAGGCACTCCAGTCCGCCTGTGGGAGCCTGGGTTGGGCGCACACTTGGCACATGCCACAGCTGTGGTCCAGCACAGCACTCCCCAGGCATTTTTAACATCAGAGATGCGTCTGGGAAGATGAACGCGATGCCAGGCGGAGAGTGCTCTGGACAGAAGAGATCCCAGCACCTCACGGAGACAGAACTTGAGTTGTGGCTGCAGGCGCCATGGTGCACAGTGCTGGGCAGCCTTGTGCCAACCGGGCACTGTGGATTTCACCCTGCACCCGAGGTGGAGACTGGGCACACTGAGATGAGTTCCCCAAACAGAGGATGGGGCCAGAGGGCTCCATGTTGGCTGAGCCCCACCTGAGGCGCCCCTGGAGCAGGGAAGAGGGCAGAGTGTGCCAAGGACACCAGTCAGAAGGGCTGCTATGACCCGGGAGAGGGGTGACAGAGGTCTGGCATCCCAGGAGACACACAGCGTGTGGGAAAGCAGCTCCTAAGAGTATCGGGGGCTGCGGTGGGGGGTGACGGAGAAGGGAGAGCCCACCCGGTCCTTCCTCTGGTGAAGAAGGTGGGTCAGAGCACATTCCTGAGGAACAGTGAGTGCTTGCTTCAGGCTGGTTTCCCAGGACACAGCAGAGGCACTGAGGCTGTCTCAGGGCAGGGGAGCTCTGGGGATGGAAGGAGTCAGGCTGGAGATGCAGTCTTCACAGGTTCCTCTGATCAAGCAGTGTTAGCAGCAGAAGTAATTTCTGTACTACTTGGAAATGTGGGGGTGGTCCAAGGGAGTGGCACCCGGGAAGGAGGAGAGGAACAGCAGGGGGCAGGACAGGCCTGGCTCTCCACCATTTAAGGGGAGGAGGCCTCTTCAGGAAGGGTGCTGGGGAGAGCCCTTCAGCGCCAGCGGGAGGTGACAAGGCAGGGCCCCCAGGTTTTACTCTGAAGAGGTGCTGTTTACTTGGCAAAGGGCATCAGGGGGCTGAGATGCGTGGTCAGCTAGAGGGTCCTTGGGAAAAGGGATGTGCTGCTTACACCAAGGCGAGATGCACAAAAACAAAGAAGACCCACCCCAGAGAATGGACGGAGGAGGCTCACCGCAGTTTCCAGCCAGGCAAAACAAACACACAAGACAATCCACTTCACCAGCAATCAGGGAGATCCAGGAGGTGCAAATGAAATGGTGAGAGGCCAGGCATGGGGGGGGGGGGGGGGGCGCCGGCAGGAGTGAGGCAATGGGGAGGGCGGGGACCTGGGGAAAACAGAAACCGAGGCTGGAACAAACAGTGGGGAGAGAGAAGGCGGGGACCTGGGGAAATGGAAACCGAGGCAGGACGGTGGGGAGTGAGGAGAGTGAGGAGACAGAGAAGGCGGGGACCTGGGGAAACAGAAACCGAGGCCGGCATGTAAACGGACATGTGTGCTTCAGTGACAGTTTAGCAACGGTTAGTAAGGTGCAGTGCCACGTCCTCCAAGGGTCCATTCCTGGAAGTCTCACTGCCATGAGAGGCTGCCTAGGGTCTGCACTGAGGCAACACGTAGTTTTTCTTTTTTTCTTTTTGAGACAGGGTCTCAGTCTGTTGCCCAGGCTGGAGGGTAGTGGCATAATCAAGGCTCACTACAGCCTCGACCTCCTAGGCTCAAGTGATCCTCCCACCTCAGCCTCCTGTGTTGCTGGGACCACAGGCGTGCACCACCACGCCTGGCTAATTTTTGTATTTTTCGTAGAGACGGGGGTTTCATCATGTTGCCCAGGCTGATCTTGAACTCCTGGGCTCAAGCAATCTCCTTGCCTCAGCCTCCCAAAGTGCTTGGATTACAGGCGAGAGCCACCGAGCCAGCCTGGTGTGTTTTAACAATAAAACTAAAACACATTCTGACTAGTAAGGGAGAAATCATCAAACCATGACATAAACTATCAGAACGTTAAAACAGACCTACAAGTATAAAACTATAAAACAAAATATTAAAACAAAAAAATCAAGTTGCAAAAACATACTATTACACCATTTATGGAAACAATGGACACATACAACAACCATCTATCTTCTTAATTATACACACATACACGGTAAGAAATGAAAACCACAAATAAGAACAATGTTCGCCAACTTCCAGGCAGCACTGCATGGACCCAGGCAGGGAGGCGCAGGGAGCAGGTGGGGGCTTTTGCTCTATGCCCAGGAGATTTCTCACCTAGAACGCACACAGGCACGTAACCACAGCTATCCACAATCCAGCAAACTGTTCTATCCTCAAACAGCATCTTTGTGTTCAAGCTTCCCCAACCCCAAGCCCTGCAATCACTGATCTGCTTTCTGTTACTGTAATTTTGCTTCATTTATTTATTTATTTATTTAATTTTTTTGAAACAGAGTCTCGCTTTGTCGCCCAGGCTGGAGTGCACTGGCACGATTGCAGCTCGCTGCAACCTCCACCTCCTGGGTTCGAGCGATTCCTGTGCCTCAGCCTCCCAAGCAGCTGGGATTACAGGCACCCGCCACCACGCATGGCTAATATTTGCATTCTTAGTACAGACAGGGTTGCACCATGATTCCCAGGCTGGTCTCGAACTCCTGACCTCAAGTGATCCACCGACCTTGGCCTCCCCAAATGCTGGGATTACAGGTGTGAGCCACTGTGCCTGACCAATTTTGCCTTTTTTAGAATGTTGTATAAACAGAATCGCACCCTACAGAGATTTTGAGTCTAGCTTCTTTCGAGACCCCTTTGTGGTGCTGGGAGTATCAGTAACACACTTCTTTGGTTGCTGTGTGGTAATTTCACTGCATGGACACACCTCAGTTTGTGGATCCACTCACCAGCTGAAAAACGTGTATTGTTTCATTTTGCACAATTATGAATAAAGCCACTGTATATAAACATTTGCACACAGGCGTTTGTGTAAACATGTTTTCATGACTTTTGGGTAAATGCCTTGGAGCAGTTTTGCAGGACCACATCATAAGGCCACGTTTACTTCATGAGAAACCGCCAGATGATCTGCCGAGGCGGCTGCACCACCTGCATCCCACCAGCGGGGCATGAGACCTGCACTTGCTCATCTCCTCTGGTACTCGGTTTGGCATGGCTTAGAAAAACAATTCACTGGGCATGGTGGCTCACGCCTATAATCTCGGCACTTTGGGAGGCCGAGGTGGGCAGATCACCTGAGGTCAGGAGTTTGAGATCAGCCTGACCATGATGAAACCCCATCTCTACTAAAAATACAAAAATTAGCCAGGCGCAGTGGATCACGCCTGTAATCCCAGCATTTTGGGAGGCCGAGGCAGGCGGATCACTTGAGGTCAGGAGTTTGAGACCAGCCTGACCAACATGGTGAAACCCCGTCTCTACTAATACAAAAATTAGCTGGGCATGGAGGCGAGTGCCTTTAGTCTCAGCTACTCGGGAGGCTGAGGCAGGAGAATTGCTTAAACCCAGGAGGCGGAGGTTGCAGTGAGCTGGGATCGTGCCACTGCACTCCAGCCTGGGCAACAGAGTGAGACTCCACAGATCACAAGGTCAGGAGTTCGAGACCAGCCTGGCCAACATGGTGAAACCTGATCTCTACTAAAAACACACCAAAAAAATAGCCAGGCATGGTGGTGGGCGCTTTTAATCCCAGCTACTTGGGAAGCTGAGGCAGGAGAATTGCTTGATCCCAGAAAGTGGAGGTTGCAGTGAGCTGAGATCGTGCCACTGCACTCCAGCCTGGGCGACAGAGTAAGACTCCATCTAGGAAAAAAAAATAATAGCAATAAAAATCAATAATTCAATTAATTTATTTTAGTCATTCTAATAACTTGTGTAGGGGTGTCTCATTGTGGTTTTAATTTGCTATTTCTCTACTGACTCTAGAGACTAGTCAGTCTCTACTGACTAATTTCTCTACTAACTTTCATCTGTACAGCTTTCACAGTGAAGTGTCTTAGAATCTTTGCTCGTTTACTGAGTTGTTTGTGATGTCATTGAGTTTTGAGAGTTCTTTATATTCTAGTTAAAAATCCTGTAAGATATATAATTTGGAAATATTTTCTTGCAGTCTGTGGCTTGTCTTTTCACTCTCTTACCAGTCTTTAGGAGAACAGAAGTTCTGAATTTTGGCTGGGTGCAGTGGCTCACACCTGTAATCCCAGCATTTTGGGAGGCAGAGGCAGGTGGATCACCTGAGGTGAGCAGGGTTTGAGACCAGCCTGGCCAAAATGGCAAAACCCCATCTCTACTAAAAATACAAAAATTAGCTGGACGTGGTGGTGTGTGCCTGTAGTCCCAGCAACTCAGGAGGCTGAAGCAAGAGAATCGCTTGAATTTGGGAAGGTTGCGGTGAGCTGAGATCGCACCACTGTACTCCATCCTGGG